GTGTGTGTGTGTGTGTGTGTGTGTGTGTTAATAATTTGATCAAACTTTAGGTTTCATGATTTTTGATGAGTTTCCCAATAAATATTAATTTTAGGGTGACGATGTTACTAACTTTGGTCCTGTCCAAATATTCTAACATTTTTGCAAATCAACACTCAAACCTTACACTCTGTGTACAGTTTATACATTAAAAAAGACATTTTGTTAACTTACATTATTACAAAAAAAAAAGAATAATATAAGTTATAGAAGAAAGATGATGAATGCTAAAGAGTAATGGAGACTTGCCGGATGTCCTTCACAACCAGACCACTGAGCTACCACAGCCCTCTGTGTGGAGCAGAGAGCTGACATCTAGGGCACCCGGGGGAGCAGATTGTGGGGGTTGAGGGCCTTGCTCAATGGCCCAGAGTGGAGCAAATGAGGGTGGAGGCAGGTGTGGGTGCTGCTTCACCTTTCCCATCTACATTTTGATGTTGCCAGTCCAGGGAGTCGAACCGGTGACCTTCCGATTACAGGCTTCTCTAACCTCTGCGCCACCACGCCCATTTCCACAGCAAAACTGATACAAACAGATGAGTGGATCGGCATTTATTACATAATGAATCAACTCTGGCTGTTCGTGTGCTCGTAGAAGATTTGAACATAAAATGAGTTTCATGTCACTTTATTGTAAATGCTCCAACAAAGTTCAGTCACGTCCTCTGGACGGGTTCTTTATGTGGAAACGTTTCGTAAATTCTGTTCTGATCAGCAGGAAAAATGTGGAAGAAATGTTTAACACCTTCACTCAGAGCACCTGGACAGATCATGAACTAGTCATGATGAAGAATGGAGCTGAAGTGCATTTCTCACACTGACCTATATTTTAGAGCCTGGAAACCTGTTAGCAAAGAGGAAACCATCGTGTGAGTACCGGAGATCGTACTTCAGCCTCTGGGCTTCTCTTTGTTATCGAACACATCTACATTAGCAGAGAAAATGGTCCGGAGCTCTGGGAGCACAGAGGAAGCATTTTCATCTCTGTCATTATAGTATTACGTTACACGTTGTCTTTGGTTAAAGCATGATCTCTGCCTTTTGGTCTTTTTATTACACGCTCGTCGAAAGGCAGATGCATTATGGTCTGGTCTCTGTCCATCTGTCAGTAAACTTTCTCTTGTCCCACCCATAACTTCGGATCTCATCAAGATTGTTTACCAAACCTCATGCACATGCATCATCACTAATGTTGCATAAACTTTTCATCAACTCAGCTCCCAGGTCAATGTCTTAAATCAAGGTCAAAGGTTATACAAAGACTTTGCTTGTCCAGGTCATTGCTACAGATTGCTGTTTAATAGTTTGTGGACAGGCGTATAAAGTGTAGTATGCAATATTCTTATTTTACTTATTTTGTGCTGTACCGGTGAAAAACCTTTGATCTGATTAATTAAATTGAGAATTATATGGCTTTTAACTGCAAAGAGCTTTTTAATGCAGATATACTTGACTGTACATTTTGTTGTGGACATGAAAGCTCCATCAGCTCCTCTACTAAAAAAATATTATGATTATGCACCAAATGTTCCTCTGTAAGGTGCTGAAGAACAGAGGTAGCTAAAGTAAAATGTGGTCAGGCATCAATGGGATGACTGGATGTGGCATCAATAGATGTGCCTGAGTCATCACTGATCATCCCAGAAATGTAAATCAGCTGGAGCAGATGAGTATTTGTTCAACTAAAGGTTGTTGCAACACAATACACTTACCAACATCAGTCAACAGATGTTAATGCTGTAAAAAATGTATCACGGTCAAACATTTTGTAAAGATGGTGAACGCTATATGTGACAGTGAATTTGAGGATGTTGTTCATAAAACTTTTTCTACATCATGACCGAAATACAAGCGGCCAAAACGAGCTTCCTTCACTGGTGGCAGGGCTCAGCCTTAGAGATGGGTGAGGAGCTCCATCATCCAGGGGGAGCTCGGAGTAGAGCCGCTGCTCCTCCTCATCAAAAGGAGTCAGCTGAGGTGGTTCAGGCATCTAATTAGGATACCTCCTGGTCGCCCCCCCCATAGAGGATTTACAGGCATGTTCCACTGGCGGGAGGCCCTGGGGAAGACCCAGAGGTTGCTGGATGGATTGTGTATCTTCTCTGGCCAGGCAACACCTCGGGGTCCACCAAAGTGAGCTGAAAAGTGTTGCTGGGGAGAGGAAAGTCTGGGTGTCTCTCCTGCACTTGTTTTCTCCGCAACCGCAACGGATAAGCGGTAGAAGATGGATGGATTCATAAAACTGAAATCGCATGGGAAGACATAAAATCATGTGAACATTTCATACTCATAAATGGCATAACAGTGAAAACTTTACAAAACAGTGGTGAGCCAGATATGTTGTATGGTCTGGAAACAGTGGCATTGACAAAAAGAGAAAAAAATCGAAGAAACAGAAATTAAAATGTTGAGGTTCTCTTTAGGAGCAACAAGGATGGATTCATTCAACCTTTATAAATAAAGTAAAGTTCTATGTGTTGTCATCATTGTATGTTCTCATACAATGGTGAAATTGGTTCTCTGCATTTAACCCATTACACCTGGGATACACCCAGGTGGAGCAGTTTATGCAGGTTAGTCCCATTGAGCCTTGGAGACTCATTTACAAGAGAGACCTGATTTTAACATGATTTAACAAGTGATGACAACAGTAGATGATCATAAAAGATGAAGAATGATTAGACAGGATGGATTAAATTAGATTGAGATCATCAGAGGTACAGCACAGGTTGAACAACTGGGAGATAAAGTTAGAGGCCAGACTGAGATGGTTTGGACATGTCCAAAGGATGGACAGTGGGTATATTGGTAGAAGGATGTTAGAAATGCAGCTGCCAGGAAAAAAGACAAAGAAGTGACATTATTTATATGAATGCTCCTACAAGAACCCTGCAGATGTTGGATGCAGTCTGTCATGGTGCATTAAGATTCATAACTGGCTGTGATTATCGTACCCACCACTGCACCCAGTATTCACTGGTTAACTGGACATCATTAACTTCACGCAGACTCTCTCACTGGTACATTTTCATCTTTTAATCACTTCTTGGTCTGTTGCCTTCATACATCTCCTCCTACATGTCTCTGCGTGAGTGCAGCTACAGCGTGCGCTCTCAGGACATTATTACCTGCAGTGTTCCCTCAGTGAGGACTGAACTTGGACAAAGCGCCTTCTCCTACTCCGCTCCTGTTTCCTGGAATATCTTACAAAAAGA